ACGGTGTGACCCGTGGCCGCGATCGCCGCTCGGAGAGGGCACCACAAGCAATGAGCCGAAGGGATCGGCAACCGTGAGATATTGGTTCAACGAATTTAAACGTGGTCGTATATCTGTTTTTGATGAGGAGCGGCCAGGCTGCCCGGCAGATGTGGTTACCGAGGAAATCGTTGAAAAGGTCCAAGACATGATCCTCGTTGATCGCCGAACTAAAGTGCGCGAAGTAGCAGAGGCCGTAGGCGTGTCGTACGGAACGGCAATCAGTATTTTACATGATAAGTTAAGTATGAGAAAGGTGTCGGCCTGATGGGTGCTGTGATTGCTCACGGTGGACAACAAGCGGATATGGCTGTCAATGTCGAAGCAGTGTTTGGACCTCATTAAGCGAAATTCACAGGAGTTTTTGCATTGAGTCATCACCACTGATGAAACCTGGATATATTATTATATGCCAGAGACCAAGAGACAGTCAAAACAATGGATTCCTCTGGGTGAATCTGCTCCGAAGAAAGCAAAGACGGTCCCATCGGCCGGAAAGGTCGTGGTCACGATTTCTTTGGATTCGAAGGGAATAATCCTCATGCACTTTTTGCAGAAGGGACGAAAAATCACGGGGCAGTACTACAGTGAATTATTGGACCGATTCGATAAGAAATTGAAGGAGACACGGCCCAATTTGCCTAAGAAACAAGTGCTGTTTCACCACAATAACACACCAGCACATTCATCCGGAATTGTCGCGGCCAAATTGCATGAACTGCGCTACAAATTGCTGCCGCACCCACAGTACTTGCCCGACCTGGCTCCCTGTGACTTTCTTCTGTTCCCCAACATGAAAATATGGCTCGGGGGAAAAAAAATTCAGCTCAAACGAGGAGGTTATCGCCAAGACAGAAGAGTATTTTGAAGAGTTTGACAAATTGTATTTTTTTGGGGGGTTAAAGAAATGGCAGAAACGTTGGGAAAAGTGTATCAACCTCAAAGGAAATTACGTTGAAAAATAAAAAAAAAATTGTGAAAAACTTGTGTCTTTATTCCTAACACAGGTACTTATTGGTCAACCCTCGTAATTGCATCCATCCTCCTGCAGAATTCTCTCTCTGTAGTTCAAATAGTCTTCCCAGATCTGTTCACAAATACCTTCCTTCTATGGTCTTATGGTAGCCATGTTTCACACATATACAAAACAAGAGGGCAAATTAAAGTTTGTACATTTAAATTTTCATGTTCTTAGACAAGAAAGCAAAACACTCAGTAATTAGTGTAGCAATCATTCACAGATTTTAACCTGGTTTCAATTTCTTGATAAATCCAGTTTTGATTACATATGGCTGTTCTCAAACTGCATCAACATACTTCATTTAGGTTTCCTTCTTGTTCTAATTTTATTGCCTTACCAATCACAATCACAATGGTTCTTCTTAATCTCTGCATACGTATCAGACCAATTACTTGTTCTGTCAGCCATCACTACAGTTCTGAAACAATTAAAGCAGAAAAAATGAAGAAACCACATATATTCTCAGTGAAACACTCACATTTCATATAAAATTCAGTTACAGTAACAGATCCATGGAGAACAGTTACTCATCAGCTAATATTCATTCAGCTGGTCAAGAACTTCCCTGTCCTTCACAGAACCCTAAGATTTCTTAACATGTTCACAAGAGCCTTCTTATCTTAAGCGTGATAATTCACTCCACTTCTGCAAGTGGTACATTATTACCAATGTTTTGGAGGAACATGCTGCCTCCATCTTCCAGATGGAAAAGTAAGTCAGATGTGAAAATAGAGAGGCCTGGGAGTAAGGTCTGACTAAACCAACAGGAGTAGGGAAAACACTGTAAATGATACTGGCACAGTAACTGGGTATAACAACAGCTCAAAGTGAACCAGCAGGAGGTAGAAGGAAGTCAGGGGAATCAAAGTAATCAGTTTCACCAATGTGTGGAATGCAACATCCCTGATTGTTATTAGTTTAATAAATTTAAATGAGGTATACACATATAAGATTTGAATACTCCATGGTGGTAAGTATTCAGACTGTGATCCTCTGGGTTACGATACCATGTAGTCTTGTTGGTGACAACAAAGAAGATTGCTCCTTCTGTCTTCTGGGTCAGAGTGGAGGAACAACTGATCAAGTTTTACTGGCAGGTTGATATGGATGGGGGCCTCTCAAACATAGATTCAAGTGGAGTGAGGATGTGATAAACTTATAGTGACTGCATATCACTCAGAATCACTATTCATGTCACCCTGCCAATATAAGTTGGTCACAGGCTAACTCCACTCTGACCCTATAGATGGTGGTAGAGAGTTCCTCAGAAATGTTGATACGCAACTATATGGTGGATTTCTGGTTCTCACGGTGGTAACGAAAAAAAAATCGTACTATCTTACGGGATGAGACGATGTGTAGTTCGGCATAAGGTCACCGACGTTTCAGACGAACACACTGGCTCTATTTTGTGTTAGATGGTGGCTATACATTTCTCCAAAACACTGCCGAACTCACCCTAGACTACGTGGCGTTACATCCCAGAAGACGGAATCGGAACATTTAACCTAACCCAACCGGACTACTAGGAGTCATACTCCAGATACTGTCTACATGGTACCCAGAACAATAGTCAGAAATATACCCAGGCACTTACGAACATTCACATTTACACAAGTAATGGGTTCGTGCCGTTTGACAACAGCTATAATACACACAAACTTCAAGTTCGAAATACGTAAATTAGAAATTATAATTTACTTAGTAAATTGACGTTATTTCTTTGCCAGTCATAACCATGAACCGATAAACGGATCTCTACTTAAAACTTCTTACACATATATATGCTAACACACTACATGCGCCATTACAGTCAATACCTTCCCGCCCATATCATAGCCCTGAAAGGGTATTTATTACATTTTGTCCCCAAACCTTGAAATAATTCATCTGTAAGTAATACAAACATGGTGATAGTGCTACATTGAGGCGTAACGTTTAATACATTTAATGCAGACACTAGCTAAACTTAATTTCTTCTTCTTAATTAAGCAACACATTATAAATCCATTATATCATGCCTCAAAACGAACTTACCAAGACGAATATTAACCAAATCTTCGTAGCAAACAATGGAGTATGAATGTTTCTGTGGTGGCAGGCCTGGCCACTATCACGGATAGCTGCGATTATTTTGCGCCACAAAATGAAGCACACTAAACTGAATTCGGTATGAACGGGCATGAACGGTATGAAGCACCGGTCGTAACGTCGTAGCAGGTCTGACACTTAGTAATCCGTGGTTTCGGCTACGAAGGAGCGGCATGCTAATGGATTTGTGGGTGATAACTGCCGATAACTGCAATCATAAGTGTCATAAGACATGAGTATCCTGTAGATTCTGTATTTCATATTTCATATTTATTTTGCATTCATACTGTTACAACTGCAACACTTGAACGAGTCAACTCACTAGATACATCATTGTTAAAAGTTCTATAATCCTAGAATATATTAGACTAAAAGTAAAAACTGTACTTGCCTTACAACATCACTAAGAATTTTAAAAATATAACAATAACTACTACAATTCCCTTTTCTTATTTTTTTTTTTTTTTGTTAATTAAAAAAAACCTTGCTATGCTTCCTCATGTCCCTGTTGAAGAAATTCATTCAATGTATAGAAAGGACGATCAAATAAAAATAATTTTAATTTATGCTTAAATTCGTTACATCCCTTTGACTTTTTAACTTCCAAAGGAAGTATATTATATAATTTAATGCCCACATTAATAACACTTTTCTTAAAAACTGATGTGTTACATTGTTGTACATGAAGATCATCTTTCCTCCTAGTATTATACTCGTATAAATCAGTATTTCTCGTAGTGTATATATTGTATCTCTTAAAATAATACAACACCTCTATGATGTACAAGGACGTAATAGTTAAAATCTTCAATTCTTTAAATAAAGGTCTGCATGACACTCTGTTATTTACACCTTTCATGAAACGAAGCATCCTTTTTTGTATTTTAAAGACTTTAATACTTTCATTTTCTCCTCCCCAAAAAATCAACCCATAACTTACCAACGATTGAAATTTGGCAAAGTATATATTCCTGAGTATATGTAAACTTACCTCATCTTTCAAAGATTTAATAATATAACATACCTTATTCAATTTTGAACACAAGGACTGAATA